CAGGCGCCCGCCACAACGCCCGGCTATTTTTTGGTTGCAGCCGTCATTGTTGTTTTTGGCGGGTCCAGGCTGGGGATTCGAACCCGCCACCTTAGGTGTATGTGGCTGGCGCCTTAGCCAGTTGAGCTATAGGCGCCGAGCCCTGAATAAGTTTCAAAAGGAATTTTTTCTTCTGTTTTCTGCTAGGCATTTTATGTTTTAAGGTTTATCTATGGGCCATTGCAAGTTAATTTCAGTGTAATTTCTGATACAAGGTTACAGTCAACATTTTTTCCCATATGTAAAGACCACTTCTTGAAAAGACTTTTCTTCTCCCCATTGAATTGCCTTGGTGCCTTTGTCAAAAATCAACTGACTAGACTTGGAGACCATAGTTCAGTGAGGAGGGTGCCAGCCACATACAGCAAGGTTGGCAGGTTCAAGCCCAGCCCGGGCCTGCTAAACAACGGTGACAACTGCAACCAAAAAATGACAGGGCATTGTGGTGGGTACCTGTAGTCCCAACTACTTGGAAAGCTGAGGCAAGAGAATCACTTAAGCCTAAGAGTTTGAGGTTACTTTGAGCTCTTTTTTTTGAGACAGGGTCTCACTATGTCACCCTCAGTAGAGTGCTGTGGCATCATAGCTCACAGCAACCTCCAACTCTTGGGCTTAAGCTTTTCTCTTGCCTCAGCCTCCCAAGTAGCTGGGACTACAGGTTCCCTGCAACAATGCTTGACTATTTTGTTGTTGTTGTTGTTTAGTCGGCCCCGGGCTGGGTTCAACCCCGCCACACTTGGTGTATGTGGCTGGTGCCAGAGCCTTGCTGTGATTTCTTAAGCCCAAGAGTTTGAGGTTTCTGTGAGCTGTGATGCCATAGCACTCTACTGAGGGCGACACAGTGAGACTCTGTCTCAAAAAAAAAAAAAAACCAACTGACCATACAGCTGTCAACTTATTTTTGAACTCTATCCAGTTCCATTGATCTACATACCTATATCCTTTTGCTTATAGCACACTGTTTTGATTATGAAACATTTTTTTTGGTAGAGACAGAGTCTCACTTTGTTGCCCTTGGTAGAGTGCTGTAGCAGCACAGCTCACAGCAACCTCCAGCTCTTAGGCTTAGGCCATTCTCTTGTTTCAGCCTCCCTAGTAGCTGGAACTACATGTGCCCACCACAATACCCAGCTATTTTTTTGCTGTTATTGCAGTTTGGTGGGGGCCGGGTTTGAACGCGCCACCCTTGGTATATGGGGCTGGTACCATATACATGACCTTTATTAGTGTGAAGAAATTGTTTATATTCTAAGTTTGGTGAGAATTTTTTTTTATGAACAGCTAATGAATTTTGCCATTTTTTTCCTCTTTATATAAAAATGAAGAGCATATGGTTTCTCATCTTTATTCTGTTAATTTGGTGAGTTATGTTGATTTATTTTTAATGCAAAGCCAAACTTAAATCCCTGGGATCAGTCTAATTTCCTAATTAAATCTAATTGTTTATAATATGTTATCTTTAAAAAACTGTCTTACATATTATTGAAGTTGGTTTGCTAATATTTTTAAGGATTTTTACATCTAAGTTCATGAGGGTTATTGGTCTATAATTTCCTTTTTGTAAAGTCAGATTTTCATATTAAAATTTTGCTAACCACATAAATATTCCCTTGTTTTCTATTTTCTGAAATAAGTTAATTAAATATTTATTTATTCCTCATATGCTTGATAGACATTACTTGAGTCTGAAGTTTTCCTCGTGTGTATGTTTTCGGTACTTACAGAGTTACTATATAGTTCAAAGCTACAGAGCTATTTAGATTTTCTATTTCACCTTGGGTCACTTTTGGTAAGCTGTATTTTTCAAAGGACCTTTCTTATTTTTCACAGTTACCAAACTTATTGGCATCAAGTTGGTTATAATATTTTCTAATTGCCCTTTTAATATAGGTAGGATTCATCCAGTCATAGTATTGATGATTTTTCATCATTATTCATTAGGAAATATTTTCTAACTTCTCTTGGTTTCTGCTTTAGCCCATGGAAATATACTCCCTATGTTTGCAATTCTTTTAAATATATTAAGACTTGTTTTATGGCATGAGGTTTATCTTGATGGATATACCATGTGTGCTTGAAAATACATATATTTTTTGGTTGTTAGGTGTTGAGTTCCATAAAAATCTTTAGGTTCTGGTAATTAATAGACCATCTATGCCTTTGCTTATATTCTGTGTAGTAATTCTAGCAATTGCTGTGTAAGAAATGTTAAAACAGGCTTCCCCTCCCCCGCTTTGCATCATGAGTTTGTCTCCTCTGCTAAACTGAGCGGAGCTTGCCAAAGAAGCACGTGAGCTGCTGGATGGAGCTGGTTGCTGGTAGCTACGAGCAGGTCCTTTTTGGATTCACTGTCCGCCCGGATTCCGAGGCAAGCGGCGACCACGAGAAATGGTCCCTGGTGGCTGACTTCACTCATCATGCTCACACTGCCTCCTTGTCAGCAGTGGCTGTAAATAGTCGTTTTGTAGTCACTGGGAGTAAAGATGAAACAATTCACATTTATGACATGAAAAAGAAGATAGAGCATGGGGCTCTAGTGCATCACAATGGTACAATAACATGCTTGAAATTCTATGGCAACAGACACTTAATCAGTGGAGCAGAAGATGGACTCATCTGTGTCTGGGATGCAAAGAAATGGGAATGCCTGAAGTCAATTAAAGCTCACAAAGGACATGTGACCTTCCTTTCTATTCATCCATCTGGCAAGTTGGCCCTGTCTGTTGGTACAGATAAGACATTAAGAACATGGAATCTTGTTGAAGGAAGATCAGCATTCATAAAAAACATAAAACAAAATGCTCACATAGTGGAATGGTCTCCCAGGGGAGAGAAATACGTAGTCGTCATACTAAATAAAATAGACATCTATCAGCTTGACACAGCATCCGTCAGTGGCACCATCACAAATGAAAGGAGAATTTCTTCTGTTACCTTTCTTTCAGAGTCTGTCCTTGCAGTGGCTGGAGATGAAGAAGTTGTAAGGTTTATTGACTGTAATTCACTTGTGTGCCTCTGTGAATTTAAGGCTCATGAAAACAGGGTAAAAGACATTTTCAGTTTTGAAATTCCAGAGCATCATGTTATTGTTACAGCATCAAGTGATGGTTTCATCAAAATGTGGAAGCTTAAGCAGGATAAGAAAGTTCCTCCATCCCTACTCTGTGAAGTCAACACTAGTGCCAGGCTGACATGTCTTGGAGTGTGGCTAGACAGAGTGCCAGACACGAAAGAAAGCCTTCCTCCAGATGGAGAGCCTTCTCCTGCAAGTAAAGAACAGTTCAAAATCAGCGAAGAGGAATCTGATGACACAGCGCAGGAAGAAGAAAAACAGTCAAAACCTAATGCAAAGAAATGTGGTTTAACAGATAACAGCAATAAGCCAAGAAAAAGAAATAGCCTGGTGTTAGCCAAGAAGAGGAAATTGGTAGAAAAGTTAGAAAAGAAGAGGAAAAAGAAGAAAATATAAATGATGCAGTAAATCCCAAATATCTACTAAGAGAACTTTTTTTTCTTTTTTTTGCAGTTTTTGGCGGGGGTCAGGTATGAACCCACCACCTCTGGTATATGGGGCCTGCACCCTACTCCTTTGAGCCACAGGCTCCACCCAGCTAAGAGAAATTTTTTTAGCTGGAATCATTCTTTTCAAATGTACCTTAATATCTTTTTTTTCTTTCTGAGTAAAAACAAGAAATGTTTTCTTTTGGAGAAATATACATCTTATAAAACCATTTTTAAGTGTTCTTTTTTTTCTTAAAAACTGGTAAAATTGCTTTTGACAGATTATTTCATTAATTATATATCAGTGATCTAATGTGTGATATGTAATTTTTACTTTGGGCAAAATAAATGACATTATTATGATTTAAAATAATATTAAAGTCTTGAGCATAATTCAGAATTCTTTGCCAGAGGTGGATAGAGTTGTTATGCAGATTTTTCTCTAAAATGAAGAAGAGACTGCCTTACTCTGACTTCTTCAAATGGTAAGTAGTAATTTGAATGCAAACTTTGTTTATTTTGATAACAAAGTATAAAAAGATTTTTCAAACCACGAATAGTAAAAGACATATATGTGTAAATATGTAAAACATATGTATAAAACATAGGTTTATATATAGGACTGCATACATAAGATTATAGAGATTGCCAAACTTCTTTAAATCGATATGCTTCCAAGCAATGGATGTATAAGATGATGTAGAGGAAAGAAAATGACATTTTTGATTTTTACTTTATTCCTTTCAAGGCAACAAAAAAATTCACTAAGCTAATCTTAAACTAACAAAGATAAGCCTTAAATTTAGCTTGTTTAGCTCTTCTTACCTGGAAAATTATTAAAGTACTTTTTTCTTTTTCTTGTTTTTTTTTTTTTTTT